TTGTTGTTTGTTTGTTTGTTTAATAACAGGTATCAAATTCATGATCTCATGCTTGCCAGGTAAACACTGCTGCTGAGCTAAATTCCGAGCCAGAAGTATTTTTGAAAACAGAGATCAACCAAAACAAGGCTCAAATGTGAAAGTATTGGTTTTTTTGTTTTTTTCCCTTTCCCATTCATGGTTCTGGCCTTCATTACATGTTTCCTCATTTGCAAGTCTTTTACGCATTGATACTGCAGTTGTCACCTATTGATGGTGTATACAATGAATATACTTGTAATTCATTATTTATGCTTTTTGTATGTTATATGTAGGATTCCTGATTGGGTTTCTGTTTTGGTTTTGGTTTTTTTTTTTTTTTGGAACCGGGGATTGAACTCAGGCCCTTGCACTTGCCAGGGAAGCACTTATTCTACTGAGCCATCTTCCCAGCCCCAAGATTGGGTTTCTGTAGCATTCTCTTCTAACTCATTTTAAAATTTCTGCTGGGGCTATAGCCCGGTGGTGATGCACTTGCCCAGCATGCCTGGTGCCCTGGGTTCAATGGTCAGCATTACAAAAAGAAAAGACCAAAAACTTAATTTTGCATCTGTCAGAACTAGCTGAATAATGTGCTCAGCTAATATTATATCCTCTAAAACAAAAGAAACTTGAATTTCTGTCAATGAACAAAGTTTATACTGACCTTTGGGATACATAGAGGCAAGACCCTGCCTCAAAAAAAAGAACAAAGTCTCATTAACAGTGTTGTTCCTGATAGTAGAAAAGTCTCCTGTTAGCTAATTTAGAAAAGTCATCTTCTCAAGTTAGCTAATTTGTTCTTTTTTTTGTTTGTTTGTTTGTTTTGTGTGTTTTTTTTTTCTTTTAAGTGATGGGCAGTCTTCAGCCATTCCCGTAGCCAGTATGGAGTTTGCAGCCATTTGCCTCAGAAACGCCTTGTTGCTGTTATCTGAAGAACAGCAAGATCCAAAGCAGGAAAATGGGTCTAAAGGCAGCAGCCAGCTCAGCGGGAACACAGAGAGCAGTGAGAGCAGCGAAACCTGCAGGTATGGGTAGCCCTGTCACAGCCCTCTTCAGTAAAACAGCCCTTTAGATAAACTACTAAAACCTTTAGCCTGAATTTCCAGATTTAAACCATAACAAAAGAAATTATGTTTCCAATATTTTTTTGATACAAAAAGGGTTAAGGAGGGCTGGTGAGATGGCTCAGTGGTCTAAAGCACCTACTTAGAACAAGCTAAGTTAAGCAAAAGCACAGGGACTTCGGTTCAATCCCCAGCACCACATGCCAGCCAGCCCCACCCCCTGGTGGGCTGAACTGGCCACACACACACAAAATGAATAAATAAATAAATTTAAAAAAAAAAAAGGGGGGGTTAAGGAAGAGGAGATCCTTGAGGGAAAAAATGATAATAGCAGTTAGGCATGGTGGTGCACATCTGTAATCCCAACACTCAGGAGACTGAGGCAGGAAGAGCTCTGTAAGTTCAAGGTGAGCCTGAACTACATAATAAAACCCTATCTCAAAAACAAACACATGGGGGCCGGGGAGATGGTTCAGTGGAATAAGCACTTCCCTGGCAAGCACAAGGGCCTGAGTTCAATCCCCAGTTCCGCAAAAAAAAATTAAAGAATTTTCCTGTGATTAACAAAGAGAACATATCTTTAACATTTATAAAAATGCTTCAGAAGACCCTGTACCAAATACATTTTTTTAAAAAAGCTACATTCCTAAAATGTCTTGTTATTCTCTGTTTCTTTTAATCCACTGTAAACTACTGACTTTCAGAATACTTTTTTTTTGGTGGAACCGGGGTTTTGAACTCAGGTCCTTGTGCTTGCTAGGCAAGCGCTTATTCTACTGAGCCATTTCCCCAGCCCCATCAGAGTACTTATTTATTTATTTTTGAGTATTTGGTACAGGGTCTCACTGCTCAGCTCAGACTTACAGTGATTCTATTTTCAGGCTGCCCAGTGCTGAGATTATAGGCAGGCGCACAGCAGCACACCAGGACTCAGTGGCCAGCTCAGCATACCCGGGGACGGGCTAGCATGACATGTGGTGCCAGGGATTGAACCCCGGTCCCTTCACTTGCCTGAGCAGGCATTTAGTCCACTGAGCTATCTCACCGGCCCCCAGACTATTTCTGTATGTTTTCTACTTAGAGGAAGATCTGCATTTTACACATGGCACTTTTTTTTTTTTTTTTTTTTTTTTTTTAGTGGTACCAGGGATTGAATTCAGGACCTTGTGCTTGTCAAGCAAGCACTTTTTCTGCTGAGCTATCCCCCCAGCCCAATTTTTTTTTTCTTTGGAGGTTAAGAATAGGAAAAATTGGGACTGGTGAGATGGCTCAGTGGGCTAAAGCACCTACTTAGAACAAGCTAAGCTCAAGCAAAGCACAGAGACCTCGGTTTAATCCCCCAGCACCACATGCCGACCCGCCCGCCCCCTGGT